AAAACATAACAAAAAAACATATATAAACCAAAAAATTAAATTGTGGACACAAACTACAGTGGTCAAACTTTGGTGATCAAATTTTCTAAGCAATCTTTGCAGCATGCTATTATGAGGTCCATACATAGCCAGGATTTGCAAATTTTGCAAAAAAGCGAGTTTTGTGTCTTTTGCAATATTTACAATTGTCTGTCTTACCTGGCTGGTGCTCTGGTACAACGTCGACCTCAATGCCTGAGAGTCTTAAGGCCGAAGCACGCACAGCTTTTGTCAAATGCGTCCGTCGTATACTCTCCTGTACCAATTCCATACCTACGTTTTTTTGGAATAATCTTCGCGTTTTGGAAAATTCTCCATATAAGTTGCTGCCATTGTAAATTATAAATGCAGTAATTGCTGCGGGATTAAGGAGTTTATAAACTACTACTATTGGCCAACGTTTCGTATTTCTGGAAACATTATATGATGTGATCATTCTGTCTACAACATCTACTCCACTCTTAGTGGAATTATAAACAGTAATTATTTCTGGTTTTCTCTGATCACCAGTATCTTCATCGATCCGATCATCTCTGAGCACAGTGGAAACAGCAATCACATTTTTTTCTTTCTTCGGTATATATGATACGGCAGTCATATATATATATATATATATATATATATATATATATATATATATATATATACATATATATATATATATATATATATATATATATATATATATATATATAATATATAATAGCACTACGAGCCTAGTAGGCCCATGGCTTGAGCTGTTATTGTTTTCCATTTCTTCCTATTAGTAGCCTTGTCCTTCCATCTTTCTGTTCCCAGTGTTTCTAGGTCTTTCTCTACTTCTTGCTTCCATCTACTTCTCGGCCTTCCCCTCCTTTTTTTGTACCCATTGTATGCATCAGAATTATTTTTGGTACTCGAGAATTTGTCATTCTTTCTATGTGGCCTAGCCACCTGAGTCTCTGAGACTTTACTACTCCCACTATACTAGGATTCTTGTACATATCTTCTAATTCTTTATTTGTTCTTCTTTTCCATGTATTGTCTACTATCTTGCCTCCAAATATCTTCTCAAATCCTTCCTTTCCCATATTTCGAGCATACCTGTTTCGCCTTTGTTCAGTGTCCACACTTCACTGGCGTAGGTTACCACTGGTTGTATAACTGTTTTGTAAATCCTTATTTTGGCATTCCTAGATATCTGTTTACTTTTTAATAGCCTGTTTAATGAGTACACGCGTCGGTTTCCTGCCATTATTCTTGATTAGAGCTCCTCTCTAATATTTGGTTTGCATGTGAATATCGACCGCTGTTATGTAAATCTTTCCACTGCTTCAAATATATATGCTTTTTCACTCTCTACTTCTATTTTTAGATTTCTTCCTTTTTGTTCACTGTCATCTATCCATTCCATGTATTTTTTCTTAGTTTCGTTGATGGCTAAGCTTATTTTCTTTGCCTCTCTATCTAGCCTGTTTACTACTTCTTGTAGCTCCCATTTGCTTCGTGCCAGTATTACTACATCGTCAGCAAAGGCTAGACATTGGTGCTTTCTTTGGTATTACAATCCCTCTCTGTTGACATTTGCATCTCGTATGACCTTCTCCAAACACAAGCTAAATAGTATCGATGATAGGGGATCTCTTTGCCTTACTCCTTCACTGACTTCAAATTTTTCCGACATTATATTATTTATTTTAACTCTGCTCTCAGTCTTGGACAGCGTTATTTGTATCATTCTTATAAGTTTTCTACTGATACCCAATTCTTCTAGTGCTTTGCTCATTTGGTTCCGTTTTATTTTATCGTACGCTTTTTTAAAATCAATGAAGAGGACCCTTGTCGGCAGATTGTACTTTGCACATTGCCACATTGGTACTTGCCGACAATGTTTTCTATCACTCCTGCCAATTTGTCCTTTATACACGCTGCAAGAATTTTGTATGCAGTATTCAATAGTGATATCCCCCTGTAATTTTGACAATCTGTCCTATCGCCTTTCTTATAAAGTGGGCATATAATTGCATCTGTCCATTCTTGTGGTAGTTGTTCTTTAATCCAAATCTCCTTTATTAATTTGAACATTTGCTCCTCTAGCGTTTTCCCTCCATATTTGAACATCTCTGCAGTTATATTATCACTTCCTGGACTCTTGTTATTTTTTAATTTCTTTATTATTTCCTTTATCTCGTTTCATGTAGGGGGTGTTTCTTCTGTCTCATTTATTTGGTTCCTATGTTTCTCTGTTCTTATAGGCTGTGGTTGTTCTATCCTGTTTCCGTCATTTAGCAATTCATCGAAGTATTCTTTCCATCTAGCGGCTATTGCATTTTCTCCACTTATGGCGTTTCCCTATTTATCTTTGTAAAATATTGTTTTCTGTTGGTATTTTTTTTTTCATTTTTTACTCCCTGATATAAATTTCTAATTTCTCGATTTTTGTAATTTTCTTCCATTTCTTTCAGCTGATTTTCCATGTACTTTCTCTTTTTCATTCTTAAAACTTTTTTTACGATTTTTCTATGTTTTTCATATCTGTTTCTTGTTTCTTCCGTATCACTTTTGATCATATCCATCCTTAGTTTACTTCTTTCTTCAATTTCCTTCTGGCATTTTTCGTCAAACCAATCCTTTTTCTTTTTAGTTATATTTTAATTGCATTATTTAGCTGTGTTACTGATAATCTGCTAAATTTTGTCCCAGTCCTTGTCTATGTGCCCTTCTAGGTGTATTTCATTTAATTTTCTATCGATACCTTTTCTATACATTTCTTGTTTTTCTTGCGTTACAAGCCGCACTGGTTTATTTGTGTTCTTATTTTTTCTTTTGCGATTATTTTCTTCTGGTATCAGTTGAGCCATTTTAATTCCTAACATGAAGTGATCCGAGTCAGCGGATCTGGTCCTCTGTATGTTCGCACGTTCTTTATACATTTTCGGTATTCTCTCTCTATTAGTACATGGTCAATTTGATTTAATGTTTTTCCATCTGGGGATCGCCATGTTGCTTTGTAGATAGTTTTCCTCTCGAAATATGTACTCATTACTAGCATATTTTTTTCTTTTGCAAAATCTATCAGAAACTGCCCGTTCTCATTACTTTCCTTGTGTTTGCTAAATTTTCCTATAGTTGTTCTATATATTTCTTCTTTTCCTATCTTTGCATTTGCGTCCCCCAGTACTACTTTAATGTCATATCTTGGTCTTGGTCTTGGTCTACTATTGGCCAACGTTTCGTATTTCTGGAAACATTATATGATGTGATCTTTCTGTCTACAACATATACTCCACTCTTTGTGGAATTATAAACAGTAATTATTTCTTGTTTTTTCTGATCACCAGTATCTTCATCGATCCGATCATCTCTGAGCACAGTGGAAACAGCAATCACATTTTTTTCTTTCTTCGGTATATATGATACGGCAGTCATATCGTTGCTAAATGCAAAAACTGAAAACTGAAAACAAAATGCACAGGGTTGCTAAGTGAAACAAGATTGCAAGAAAAATACAACTAAGAAGCAGTGAAAATATTGTTACACATTTAATCGGGTGGGGTCTGTCAGGACAAACGGCCATGCAGCAGCTATTTAGAAATTTCAAAAACAGTTTTGTATAAAAAAAAATGAATGGTATTTAGTTTCTAAGAAGGTACTGAAAAGGTAGAAATTTAAAAAAATAAAATGAGAGAATTATCCAAAAATTTTATTTTGTCGTAGACTGACAGACCACACCCGATGAACGGAGGGCTAGACATATTTTATTATATACGCGTAGAAATAAACTTTAATAAAAATTTCTATTAATGTTAAATTAAAGAAATACACAATAATATGTTTAATTTAATTTGTATAAATGCATTCTAACGCGTTTTTATGAAGAACATTTGTTCGGAACACACTGTAATCGAACGAAGGTGAAATTTTGGCATAAATTGGTAACACTTATTTGACAGTTGCGATGTTGACACTTTTTGTACTTTACTATTTTGAATTTTAAAGTGAATACCTCTTGTTTTATATTTTTAGCTATTTAATAAAATTTGTTCTTTTTAGAACAAAATTAGTGTGTTTTATTTCAAAAATGTCACGTAAGAATTTAAATAGTCGTTGTAACGAGATGGTAATACTTTTGCAACAATTATGTGATCTATGTGATTTAAAATGGAGTCATGATTTTTTTATACTTTGGCAAATATGTCAACTTCGATTTCTGACGTAGATAATAACATGCATCGGTATGTAAATTAGATGAAGTATACTACTGTTTACCTCAACTGACTAATGGAGTTGCGGTTGTTTCTAAACGCCGTATCGAGGCAACTAATAATGCTGGATGTACGATTCTTTTCCATAAGATGCTATGAAAATTTGACAACAAGTGCTCTTAACTCCATTTCGGCAGAAATTGGAGTTACGACTGTTTACCTCCACGGTACAGAATATTGTTTACTGATTTTATTAATTTTTAAACTTAGTTTAATAATATAAAGATGTTATTCATCATTTACATTTTTAGTGTTATCTTGTACTTGTGTAGGTATATCAATTTCATTTTGATTATCATCACATTTAATTTAATTTTATTGTATTTCATTTAATTTTATTTAATTTTATTAATTTTATTTAATTTTAATTTATTTTATTTTATTCTGGTCAAACGTTAAAGTTTGTTAAACAATTATATTTTTTAAATAAGTCTATAATTATGTAAACATAAGTAAACCGTACTTTACAATGACAGTAATCTATATTTTTAATATTTTGCGAAAAAAATAATTACTGACAAAGTAATAAAATTTTCGAGTAAGGATATTTGAGTCATCAATTTGTAGATTGAATTATTGTTAGTTCAGATTCCTTTCTTAGGTGGCGTAGTTACCATACCGGACAAACAATGTGACTTTTCGTCCTAGCCTTTTATATAGATATACTTATTATGTATATACAAAAATCTTGAACCTAAATGATAATTTATTTTTTAGGAATGCACCTGAAATAGTAAGAGCTGGAGTAACAGATAAAGCGGACCTGTCAACAGCGCAGATAAGAACAATTGAGTCTATCATAGTTCATCCTGAGTATAAACCACCAATAAAATACAACGACATAGCCCTTATCAAAGTTAAGGAAGATTTTATATTTAATAAGTTTGTTAGCCCAATATGTTTACATACCAACGAAGAAAATCCAGATGTAAAAGGTATTCACTCGGGTAAGTCACTATATCAACTTACGCTTTGATTGTAACTATAAAGTTTTTAGTATTTTTACCGTAATTTATTACGTGAAGAGACGACTTAACACCTTTAAAATGTGAACCTATAGAACAATTATGGGGGTTTTCTGGGTAGATAGAGTTACGAACAATGAAGTACTGAGACAAATAGGTAACGAGAAGGAAGTTGAACTTACAATTAAAGAAAGAAAGCTACAGTATCTCGGACATGTGATGCGGGGCGAGAAGTATGGCATCCGGCGACTCATAATACAAGGAAAGATAGATGGCAGAAGAAGCATCGGTAGAAGACAAATTTCGTGACTTAAGAACCTAAGAGAATGGTTTGAATTCTGCTCAAAACAACTATTTAGAGCTACTGTCTAAAAATTAAAATAGCTATGATGATTGTTAACCTCCGTAGCGAAGATAGCACCTAAAGAAAAAGTAGATTACGTAAATTGATTAATTACCTATTTTCAATAAACATAATTGTAGTATGTCGAGTGTACTAATAAAAAGCCAATCTTGAAGCAACTGACTAATAAGCGACTCATTTATTCAGTCTCATACTAAGACTTAATCTATGTTCAATATTAAAAAAAAGTTAATGACAAAACAGTCCTTTTGACAAAGCAAAAAAACGAGAATTGGTATAAATTACTGCCTTTACATATGAAACTCGCCTCTACCGACATCAAGATTCAACGAATTTTTTCATATTTAAAGAAATGTTATTGTTAATTTTTGTGTATTATTTGGAGCAGACATAGAATCTGACCACAATCCCTTAATTGCAAATACAGTAAAACTACTCCATAACGGACACCAACGGGGAAAATAATTGTTCGTTTTGTAGAGTTGTCAGTTGTGTAGAGATATCGCTTAATCGATTGAAATAAAAAAGAGGTTTCAATTTACTTGATCTTTAAGATAATTGTACATTTTCGTACATATTTTCATAAGCATATACACAAAGAGTATAAAAACAGCGACACAGAGTAAGACCCGCTGTCACTCGACATTGAGGAGTAGGCAGATTGAGACCTCAGTGCCGAGAGACAGTTCTTGTATTTATTATACGGAACACGATACTGGTACATCTCGAGTAAGGGGAGTAGGCAGATTAAGACCCCAAACTCGAACCGAACCGTATCACTCTTGATAATAGCTCCAAAATGGGAGCCGAAACGTCGAGCATTAAATTCTCAACGCGGTTCTTCTCGAGAACCTAGTGATTTTCATTCATCTGACCGCGGAAATCTATCCGAACATTTTATTTGCCTCTACGGGCAAAAATTATTCATTCCCACTAAATCCTTTTCTAATCTTCTAACACGCAAATACCGTCTTCTCTGGAATCTTGTTTTTCTTAAATCATATCGTACCACCAAGTCATTTTAAAATCTCTTCAGATAAACATCACAGTAAATCTGCATCTATTTCCAAAATCCTTAGAGTAACTGGTTTTTCGCTTTTTAGAAATTAAATTCATTTCACACGCCACAACTTAGATTCAACTAATTCCCAGCTTCTTAAAACCTACAATGACATTCACTCTTTCAGTATCCACCCATGATTATGGGACTTCTTGTATTTATTATACAGAATACGATACTGGTACATCTCGAGTAAGGAAAGTAGGCAGATTGAGACCACGAACTCAAACCGAACCGTATCACTTTTGAATAAGATCCTACTCCTACCTTACAACGTTTTAACGTAATATATGGCATCCCATACGAATGTGGCTTAATTTACATTGGTCAGACTAGTCAAAGATTAAGCAAACGATTAGACCTTCATAAAAGTGATTGCAAACTCAAACCACAATCTACAAGTCTTAGTATTTACGTTAATAGCAAAGACCATAGAGTCCTCTCTGTGGACAACATCAACGATACGCCCGTCGCCCATGTTAAAATAATAATGACAGTAAACCAGGAGATATCAGATATCAAGTTTTATTTCTGTCAATTCATTAATGTTAGTGTCCCGTTTTACCTTTTTAATTATTTCTGTTTCTGCATTTTCAAATATTGTATTATATTTTTATTTTGTATTGATTTTTAAGCTTTAATCATAATTAACTTCTTATTTTTTAGGATGGGGTCCAACAAATTATTTAGAAGACAGACCAACCCACATGGTAAAGATTTTAGTAAACTTTGACAGTAACGAAAGTTGCAATAAGATTTACAGTCGTCAAAGTACCAGTTCTTTACCACAAGGCATAATAAAAGATAGACTGGTGTGTGCTGGAGGGAACACAATTGATGGATGCCAGGTACTGGCTGTATAGGCGTAATGCTTTAGTTTTATTTTTGAAAAAGTATATATCTTCTATTGTAGTTTAAATTTTATGAGACCAGTAGACTTTATATTACAATAGATATTTAAAAAACCTTGTTGTCAATAAACACAAAAAATAATTGGTTATACAACAGAGATTTGAATACATTTTGAGTTCGTAGATTATTCACTCAGCTTGCTGTTTACCTGAATTCAAATTATGTGCTCTTGTTCCTTATTGCGTTACGTTCATCGTTTTGAAATTATCTTTCAGATATTTTACTTATCTCATTATTTGTCATCCTGATAGTTTTACTATCGTCTTACACGTTAGAATTTTTTGTTATTTTTGTATTGTCTAGACTCTGAACAAATATCAATCAATCAATATAAGGTTGAATGTTCGAATAAATGAACTTTGACGGTACACAAGGCAAATATCGAACACAGTATTTAATTAAATCTTGCCCAAGTACTTTCGATCACAAGATCATCCTCAGGGCATCTGAAATAAGCCAAGAAACGTTTTTTAAAAAAGAAATTTTAATTCACTTGGATAAAAACTCCAAGTTTATAGTTGAAAAAAGTTTTTTTTATGTGATTAACGTTTATAGACTTACTTCGTCAATTGTGGCCTATCCAGCAATAACCGAATGTCATACATGTAAAATATCAATCATTCCAGTTTCCAACTTTTTTAAATTGAATAATATCATAGCAGTTATTTATTGAATAATTAATTTTTTTGTAAGTAAATTGCTAAAATTTATCCAACTTTTAAAGTAATTTGACTTTTCTTTGACTTGTAGAGTGAATCTGGAGGTCCTTTGCAAATTTTCCGTAGAGATGAAAGCGGAACGAATTGTATGTACGACGCTGTAGGAATTTCTTCATTTGGAGTACCTTGCGGAATTTCTCAAAAGCCGTCAGTATTTACCAGAGTGTCCCATTATATCCCATGGATAGAAAAAAATGTCTGGCCTCAAAAATAGACGTGAAAACTTTTGTCATCTGAGCAATAAAATCAAGCAACAAATAAAATGAACTCAAAACAAATGTTTTATTAAAGAACACTATATACAATTTTACGCTACATAAACTATGTAAACATGTTAATACATAAATAGAGCTGCTTTAAAAAACATTTTTTAATTTCTCTTTATTTATCAGTGGGTTTCTTTTTTTACAAAATATATTTTTCAAGAAAGTAAGGCTAATAAAAATAAATTATTGCCATTAAGAAATACTTTGTAGTTCTCCAAATAGTAAACAAACAATAATATAAAGAATAGAAAAAAGCTACCTGAAATATTTTTCTGCCATCAGACACACTTGCGCTTGTAACAGAAAACAAACTAAAGTTTTTTAACCCCTTCGGCGTAGCTAGGAATTTTGAAAAATTAGTAGTCGCGCGCGGTCGAAACGACCGTTTGGTCTTTCACTTCTACTAGTTTGTGTTAATAAAAGTATTTGGAACCAGTTTAAGTAAAACACGATTTTATTAAGGTTTAATAAGTAGAGTAACATATTACAAAATAATAAAAAAAGTAAACTAATATTAAAAACACTGGACAAAACATTAAAAAAACTATTTTCTACTCCGATAAAAAAAGGAAACTTTTAGTTATTCCGAATAAGTTCAGTTTGGCACTCTTCGCATACTACACGTGTATGTTCTCTGCATAAAAAGTTGTTACATTTACAGCAGGAAACAGTCGTTTTCCGGTTCTTTTTACAGTCGTAAAAGTATCATCTACCATGTACTCCTTCATTCGTTGGAGTGTTGTCTGTGTTAGGAATATTACATATGGCCTTAATACGTAACTTCAGATCTCGATTTAAAATGCTTACTGTTGCTCGGAACCGTAGATGATCATCCAAAAGAGAAAATGCTAAATGCTTTAAAAATTTTCTTCTAATCATTTTATTATCAGCAAGGTTGTTACTTGCATGAAGCACTAGCCAATTATTGCCGGCAATATTTAGTATGGCGTTAAAAATTACCATGGGCCAACGTCTTGTTTTTCTCTTCACATCATAAGAGGAGCATAGCTGATCAACGACGTTAAGCCCGCCTTTTGTTTTCTTATAAAAAGTTAGAATTTCTGGTTTATAATGTTCAAATGTTTCTCTATCTATAGCGTCGTCATCATGTAGACTTGAAACAAGCAATACAACTTCCTTCTTTTTGGCGATATACTACACTAAGGTACATGCATCGCTAAAGGCGAACATACTTGATTTTAGAGGACGAGAATCTAAAAGTAATTCAGGGGGCAGTTCCCTTTTGTTCTTTCTAATAGTCCCCATAACAGTCAATCCAATTTTTTTTTAAAAAATCTTTTAGAGGAATGTTAATAAACCAATTATCTAGAGTAATGTTGCGCCCAGAATACTTTATTGGCGCACACATTATTTTTACAACTTCTTTCGGGGAATTGTCTACAGTAAATAGGCCATCTCGTTGACGACCCAAATAAATCTTCATATTTATGGTATAATACATTTCAGCATCACATAAGCTAAAAATTTTGAGCCCATACTTTGAGGGTTTGTTTGGAATATATTGTATCCAAGGGCAATTCCCTAAAAATCCAGGAAGCATTTCATCGCATGTTAAATTTTGCGAAGAGTTATATCCCGATTTAGACTTTTCTACGAATTTGTCAAAAAATACTCGGATGGCGGCCATCTTATCCAGTCTCCTACGTTTTTCACGATCGACCTTATCATCAAATATAATGCATAATGCATAACTAGTTTAAATATTTCGATACCTTCGCCATTAGTTTGCCAAATATCTTCTGTATTCACGTGATGGGCTTTATATGTCCCTGCCAAAATAAAAGACCTATAAGAGTGCGAATTTCTAAAGGGTTTGTAAGCTTTGCATCCCTCTCCCTAGAGAAAATGCTTGCGATACTTTCAATGTATTTATTAGTGGATTTTACAATTAAGTAAATCATGTCCTCATCAATGAAATAACTTCATATTTCATTAATGTCTTTCAATTTTTTCGTAAATCTTTTAGGCCCAGGTGATTGTTTTACTAAATTAAGCTTGCTCATACGTATCATTTTGTTTTTTCTTTGATGCTTTCTCCACACTGTACCATTTTTTCCGTTAAAAACACTTTCTTGTTGTACATTATTCAGTAAAACTTCTCTTATTTCTTCTAAATCCTGTTCTTGTTCTCTTTCCGAATCTTCCGACCCCTCATCAATAACTTCCGGATTTACTTCATTCTCGTCATCGTCGTCGTCATATTTTATATCAGGCGATTCTTCTTCCATGAGGGCTTGAAGTCTCCTTTGTTCCTTCCCATAGTCCATTCTAAAAATAAAGCCAAACCAGTTATATATAAAAGTTTGCTGTAGCTTAAAATTAAAAAAAAAAAATAATATTTGATTCCCAATGATAGAACAAAGAAAATTATGAAATATCGTAATAGTAATTTGCTGCAGAGTAATTTAAAATTTGATGACTAATTACATAGTAAAAGAAAAAAAGGTATATTCAAAAGGTTACTAAACAATCAGACAAAAGTATAATTGTATATTATTTAAAAAAACTAGCGTTTATACATACCTTAAGGTGATAATAAACACAATAAAACGATTTATAAAAACTTTTTAGCTGACTAGACGCGCGCGGAAATTATAACCTTTGCGCTGTAACTCTTTATAATTAACTTAATCAACAAACCTCCCGCTACTCTGATTTAGTACTGAGGCTCCTTGTATCGAATGAGTAAGCTACTGAAGACCGTGGTTGCCAAATGTAATTTTTTTCCAAAATACTAGCAATTTTTAATACGTGAGGTCTTTTTGACCATGTAGCGACTAGTAACCACATGCCTTCTCTCGTCTGTCCAAAGCATCCAACACTAAGCTGACGAAATTTGTAAGAGCTGTAGTTCTAGACTTAGAATATGTAAAACCATGTTGAAAATTATGCAAGATACTATGCATTTTTAGGAATGCGTTCATTCTAGTTTAAACCAGAGTTTCAATTTTTTTTGAAAACACAGATAAGAGACTTATGGGACGATAGTTGTTAAGGTCATCTTTATCACTACTTTGACTAAAGGGATTACAATAGATAGTTGAGTAAAAACAATTTTTTTTTTTACTCATGTAGAGTCATACGCCGCCATGTTACCTATCCAACGGTAAATTAACCATCACAAATTAAAAATACTAATAATGTAAAACAACTTCAAATTTATAACATTTAAAGGGTTTTTACCCATATATTTTGGTGGCTACTAGCATGTACAACCGTTTGCACTGATGATGGATTCTTCTTCTTAAGGTGCCGTGCATTTCTGCGTAGGCGTCCACCGTACATCGTCTTGTCAGGTGAGATGTTAAATATTCTGGTTTAAATAATTCTGTTTTTAGCAGCATTGCGAAGCATTTCATAGCTGTGGATTCCTGTCCATTGTCGAATATTGCGCAGCCATGACATTTTTTTACGTCCGAGACCTCTCCTACCCTCTATTTTCCCTTCGAGAATCAGTTGCTGAAAAGTGTATCGTTCTCCTCGTATAATGTGCCCCAAGTATGCAGTCTTCTTACTTTTTACATAATTAAAAAGTTCCCTATCCTGTAAGCCCGCTCTTCTGAGTACTTCCTCATTTCTGACCCTGTCCGTCCATGATATTCTGAGCATTCGACGCAGGCACCACATTTCAAAAACTTCAAGTTTGTTAATGGAACTGGCCTTTAACGTCCATGCTTCCATTCCGTACAGGAGAACAGGCCACACGTAACATTTAAGCATCTTGTATCGGAGATTGAAGTCCAATTTGCGATCAGTCAGAAACTTACGAAGCCTCAAAAAAGCATTTCTGGCTCATGATGGATGATGATGGATTGTTTAATCCGAAAACGTTTTGCAATGTGTTTGTGATAGCCCGTTTGAGGCATTTTTATATACCTTTGATAAAGGATTTAAAACAAAATTTTTTTGTGATATATGGTATACAGCCAGCTACAGGAACTTAGTTTCCTCGTGGAACTTTTACACGCTTCTTCTGTAGCGGCTAATAAGGACCATCCACTCTTTGAAAATACTTTTTGTAAAAATAATCTCGACTTTCTCTTTAATAAACCTCGTACTGGAAAACCTTATTACATAATAATAATATAATGAATAATTTTGATACAACAATCCCAAATGTATGTCACTGTAACATCCAACGTCCGGCTCCATGGTTAATAAGCATCCCAAATTGCCACACCTCTTCAATAAAGTTTTCCAGAAAATACAATAACAACGTACTAATTAAAAACAATCTAAACGAGATTCTTGAACGAGACTAACTTAACTGCACAAATATCTTTACCGATGCCTCTTAATCAAATGATGGCATTGGTTGTGCATTTGTTACTCCAATGTCTACTTTTAAATTTAAACTACCGTCTAGCTCAAGTGTGGTCTAGCTGAATTGTTTGCTTTGTAACATGCCCTAAAACATGCAAACCTCTCAAGAATTTCAAAACCTCTGTTTCTCACCGACTCGTTCAGCTCTCTTCTTGCAATACAGCATCTGTATCCTAAACAGCCCCTGGAGCAACTAATAAAAACTGAACTACAAATCGCCCAAGAAAACCACATAACCCATAAATTTATATTTATCCCATCGCATATAGGACTTACCGGCAATGAAGAGGCAGACAGTAGTGCTCGTGATGCAGCAACAAGTGCTGAATCTGAATCTGAATCTGAATTAGTGCGTGAGAGTGTATGTAAAGATCTTAAAACGTTTTTTAAACAAAAAGTGATTGGTTAGTGGCAGCGCGAATCGTTTTTATTGCAATCCAAATTAAGATCGCTAAAACCAGATACAGGACAGTGGAAAACTAGTGCTAGTACGCGGTTTACTCAAAAGATTTTAACGCGCCTACGTATAGGACACACTTAGATCATACACTCTTACTTACTTTCGGCCAGTGAACGCCCCTTGTACTACGCCTCTTAGTGTCGTCCCTTTGTTAACTGAGTTTTCAAAATTCCATAGAGAACGTTTAATAAACAATATACCAAATACTCTTCCAGATTTATTAGTAGAAAACTGTCACGTAAAAAACTTATTAAATTACCTAAGGTCAATCAATATTTTGTATCAGATTTAA